TGGACAAATGAAGCAGAAATCTTAGAAAAGAGATTAAAAAAAATGTCTCAACAATTACAGGAACCCAAAACTTACATAGTTTTATTCCTGTGTCTCAGGAAGATGTAGAAGTAAAAACAGTGTCAACTCAGGATGAAAGAAAAATAGTTAAAATTATAAAACAGGACAATACAGATGAAAACATTAAGAAATACATCAATCTATGATAGGAATTGGTTTAGGATGTATTTGAAAATATCCTGATAATGAAGAGGCAAAATTGAGACTTTTACAACTGAAGAGCCCTTTCCCATCTTTCTGTTATTCATTACATCCAAATATATTAGTTTAAAATTATTCTGATATCCTCAGTTGATCCATCCACTGACACTGGAAGAACTTATAAAACCTTTTGAAAAACCAAGATGTAAAAAGCTTCAAATATTTTCAGAAAGAGAATTTCTTGAAAAGAACAATTAGGTTGGTCAATAAAAAAAATTTGATACAATCAATGTTTTGCATATCCAAATTTTTATTTTCTAATTAAACATGTACTCCAACAAGAAAAATAAATTTGCTTGTTAATTTCTTTGTAAATGTTAAGAATCTTTTTTTTTAAATATTCATTTTAATGTATCACTTTTTTGGATCAAAACTTAATTTTTTAAATATATATAAAAATACTGAAAATTTGATTGCTTTGTGCATTTAATGTACCATGTCAAATGTCAACAAAAATTTGTTAATCATTAACATTATTTGTTGCATATTTTCATATTATGTTATGTTATCTTAACATTAATTCATGACACTTTTTCATATAAAAATTTATTTGTTGTATAATAAAAATGTAAACAAATCTGAAAATAAGGTTATTTATTTTCCACCAAATTGGTCAACAATTAACCACAAATAACACAAATTCTCTTGATTTTATGATCATAGTTCTTATGTGAATATTAATCAGCATTCAAAGAGCTTTCTAAAGATATACAATTTGACCATACTTGGAGATGTGAAAATATTAGCATATAGTGGTAAATACCAAAATCTGTCATTTTGAATTTGGCCCACAAACATTTTGTACATATCTTTGTCCACCAAAAATTTTGTACAAATCTGTTGTCAAATTAAAAATTTTTGTCAAATTTAAAAAAATTAAAGATTTTGAGACATTAATGGTCAAATTATCTAATTTGACCTTTAAACAAAAAATAAATAAATCACCTTTTAGATCTAACCAAGTACTTTAAAATAGTATATAGTTTAGCTTTATGAGTGAAAAACAACTGAGATATTGATAGTTAAACTTTGTGATTATTTTGCAAAATTCACCTTTTTGGCAAGGGTCAAAGCGTCATAACTTGGGAACTCTTTAACCTAGAGATGTAAAATAGGTACCATTCAATTTCTATCATGAAGCTCTATAAGTATCCTAAATTTTAAAAAGATCTGTCAGTGATAGTCAGACCTTTGTTGATTTGTCACAGAATAACTTAGATTGCAATTTCTTCCACTGTTTTTCTTTTTCCTTTTTATTATATCCCATTCTATTACTGGTGTTTTCCCTTTCATTTTTAGTTCTGACAACATGGTGTGATTTCTATATCTTTCATATTTGAAGGATAGCAAATATTTTGCATATCTCTTTTAATTCTTTCCCAGTTGCTGATGTAAATTCTATCTTCTAGGTTCCAACATATTCCTTTTGAAAAGCATGAAAAAGAAATATAGAGCTCATTAGAGCCCAAGGATAATAAATGCCCATTTTCAAAATCACACTGAAATGTGTGAAACTGTCTATTAATTGGATAAATAATAGAAAGCTCTTTTAAATGTATTTAAAATAGACCACTGTCATACATATATATATATATATATATATATATATATATATATATACACACACACAAGAGGAGGCTAGTCAGATATAAATGCACAAACATGACAAAATCCACCTGAAATAGCTTAATCAATATAAATTTGTTAAAATGGATCAGTTTATAAATTTAGTATTCAATCGACTTATTTTTTCAGTTTTTCCATTTTTACACTGTAGTTTTGGAATTTAAGCAACTATTGCTGCCATATCTAGGTTGAAGCTGCCCAATCCTCTCTTTCCAGCCTTGAGTTCAAAAGCATTTACATAGGTAATGAAATATTTTCCACCCTACAAACTCTCCCACAGATGCAACATCACAAACCTCTCACTACTCTATTGCTATTTCCATGGAAAATATTCTACATTCATTAGTTCCACCTTCTGACCTTTGCAGTTAAAACCTGTCATGTTATATACACAGGGCAAACTATCCTCATTCCTTTTGCACTCTATTGGTAAGAAAGAATTTCCATTTGGACAGCTTCTTCTCAAGAGCCACTACTTTATGAAACAAACTTCCAAGAGGATGCTTTCCCAAACACTACAATCTTAACCTCTTTAAGTCTCTTGTCAACTGCTACCTATTATACTCTGCACTTACTTTCCCTTCCTATGTGGCACCATTTATCGAGGCAGAAAAAGAAAAGAAAGAAAAGAAGACAGAAAGAGAGGCAAGACCAAACGTAGATGATAAGCAGAACACACACACGGCTAAAAGACAATGGATAAGGGATATTTTGATAAGTAACAAATGGCGAATGGATGTCATTACAATGACAGGGAAATTCTGAGTAAAAAGAAAAGGAAAGAAAGAAAGAATCAGATATGTTTTGGCGACGGCTGTGTTATCTAAGGATATGAAAACAAACTATTGGTACAGGAAGGCATCTTATTATCAACTACAGACTGACTTGCCAAAGAAAAATTCAAATGAAAATGTTATTTCGATAAGTGACGAAAACAGGCAACTAAAAGGACTTTGGACAGATGAAAAAAATTAAAAGCCACCCACAGTGTCTGCTGACCGATTTCCTTGACGGAACATCCTTGGCCTGCGATAATAAAATTATGTTATCAGAAATATGTACCGAAGGAAATGAATGGGAATTTAGAAATGTCTTTTGGGGTGACGTTGGCCGTGTTAAGAAGACCACCCATTCGGATAATTAGCGATAAAATACCTGACGAAAACCACATGTAGAACAAGAGTTATGACCGCCATTGTTCATATTGTCTACGATTTTATGGTTAGAGAAATGATAACAGCGATTAAGAGGAAGAAAAGGAAAAGAAGGGATAATTTTTTTAGTTAAGCAAGATATTTTTTTTCCTGAAACAAAGCCGCGGATTCGTCCACGCCCGACTAAGACATCATTGGTCAAGTGGTGATCACGTGGCGCACAAAGGGAGGCTGTCGCCGCCCATCCAGAGTGTAGGTATGAGAAGCTGCTACGAAGAAGTGGGGAGGGCAGTTCCGCCCTCTGAAGTATGGTGAGAAGGTGGGGCGAGGAAAGGTTCCCAAAATGGAAAAAAAAAAGTGGAAATTCCTAACCAGAGAGGTGGATATGTATTTAGAATTATCGAGGAAACCTCGACACCGACAGACCCACCCGGTTTTGGTCGGCGTCCATATAATGAAAGCCACAACGAGCAGAAATCAGTTCCAGTTCAATTTCAGTTTGAGTTGGAGTTGCAGCGAAGAGTCAGTCTCCAGTTGAAGCCGCCTACAGATAGCTGACCAAGATTCACGCAAATTCCAGACTCCTCTTCAACCCAAGAACAATTATTTTGAAGAGCGACTTAGATCCAGACCACCACAATAAGTTTTTTTTTTTCGACTTTCGTCTAAAGACACACCGAAACACCAATTTCTTAGAGAGCAAACAACTTAAAGCGTTAAAACTTGCCTAACGGAAAACAACGTGTCACAATGGGTCAGGAGATAGATGCAGTCCTATGTATCGAACAACTAGACATAAAGTTTGTTACCTTTTTCTTTGATACTTTGAACTTTTTGAATTTTCATTTTATTTTCTTTTATGCATATTTGTGTGGTATCACCCCCGTTGAACTCGGTTTGCATTACGGCCCCAACCACTGTTTGATCTCGTCTGCCTAAGATCAATTCACAACGTGGGTAGGCAGACTGGGGATCAATGCAGTTACCTTTGGTAACCAGGCGTTGGAAGCGAGTTGGGAACAACGAGGCTGATATCAAATCTAACCAGATTCCCACCGAATCACCAAAAGGTTAGAACGTCACATTTGGGTGCTGACCGATACCAAGCCAGTTGGTCGTCACAGGACGAGACAACACGACTGACGCGACAGGCGGACGTCATGTTTGGAGCAGCGACACCCAAATGGAGCAGCGAGGAAGCGAACAGCTGGCGCCACGGCGAGGAAGTCACAATTGGTGCTGTTTAGGGACGTCACAGTTGGTGCCGTGGTAGACCAGAATAGAACGTCACAGTTGGTGCTGCGACCAGGGGGCGACATCACACCTACAGCAACTTTATTTAATAGCCCTCTGCCTTGAATGGCTTTTGGGCCTTGTATTGGGCGAACATTTAGTTAAAAAAAATTCAAAACCTTTTATAAAAACTAAACTTGCAGTAGGTAGCAACTTGCTGATGAGAGACAAGAGACACTAACACTTATCTGGTATGTGAGTTTGTAAGTGGCAGAATGAAAACTGACTTCAAATTGAAAAAAAATTCAGAGTAAGCGAGCATTTGTAGATCAATACTGAAATGAATTCACATTTGAAAGTTCTATTAAAAAACAAAGCAAATGATAGCTTTTGGAAGTCATAAAATGCATAACCTGTAAATGTATAGATGACTCACAGGAGGACAAAAAGTAACTTTAACCTTAAATTATTTATGTAAAAGAAAAAAAAAAAAAAAGAGGACAATCAATGATTAACTCTTAGCATTCAACCCGCCCAAATCCGCCTTGTAAATATTGGCTCTCAATGTTCAACCCTCCATAACCCACCCATTGTATACACTGCAATAATATATGATGACATCATCACAAATAACACAGGAAGTCATGTAAACTTTTTTGACCACTGATATTTATGGGGTGGGTTTGAGCATGTTGAATGCTAAAAGATTAAAGTTGCTCAACTTACCTAATAAATTTTTGTCTAACTTATTTGCTTGAGTCTGAGATGTTGTAGTATTTCTAATTTCAAGCAGGCACTTGAAGCACTTGTGGTAGAGCTTAGTCACTTTGGAAACACTAAACAAGGACAATGAACTCTGCATGTATAACAGGTAAGTTTTCCACAGATTTGAATTTGCAGTGTTTGCTGACACAAGCCGTTCCCAGGACTCTAGAACACGCTGTGGCTCCCACAAGTCCTGGCACAGTTTTAATCGGGCTATTTTCAAGTCAGTGGATGCCGGGTTAGCTTCAATGGCTTTTTCCAAGATCAAGACTTTCTTTTCCAGAATACTTCGGGCTGACTGACTCAAGTTCTCTTTATGCCCAAGTGCTCCAGAATTTTCAAGAAAATTCTCCTGGAATGAAACAAAGTCTAACCACATGGCAATGTTGTGGGGGTTAGCATGTAATTCCTTGTTATAGTAAGCCACTTTTTCCAACAGTGGATTTTTGGTTTCTTCAGTGTAATTGGCTGAAGGACTGGAATTCACAGAGTGACCCTGAAGGTAGGCCACAGTTGATTGGTCTAGGATTGAATGGGGGTCAATGTCACTCTTTACTGTGTTCTTTTCACACTCATTATGGAAAAGTAAAATGTTTTTGCTGAGATCCTTATTGTTTTCTTGTTGGTTGCCTAACTCCAGAGCTTTGATGTTCTCCGAGGCAACATTAATCAATTTCAGGTTCTCTTTACTGAAATATCGTCTGCGAATGTTTTTCATCACCTCTGCATTTGAGGTTTGGTTATTTAACAAACACCGAGCATTGTCATCTGAGAGTCCAAGACAAAATTTACAGCACCTTGTGTACTTGGCGATGTGAAGTTTATAAAGAGAGCCATAAGTCCAAATGTTGGAATCTGATTTGCGGTCAATTCGAAAGGCATCTTCTATTCTAAGTCCATCAATGTCTTCAATGAAAATTTTACCTGGAATCTCTTTCATGTAATCAACCAGATTCCTTTAAAAAAATATAAAATAAAAGATTATTTGATCATCTTCAATTACAAAAAATAAATTGAAACAATTACTAAAATTACATTTCAAAGATATGATGATCCTGATTTTAATTTCAAATCACTTTTGAGACACAAAACATTCAAATAATATAAAAAAAAAAATATATAAGATTCAGTTGTATAATTAAGAAAGTAGCATGTTGATGTAAACATTATATAAAGATGAGGCCTCTTTCTTAATCTGATATTCTTCAGCCTTTATTACAACAGACAACCAGTATTTCTTGAAAGTTCTTGGTGAATATAAGGAATCATTATCTTGAACTACGTCTCTTCTATGCTATATTAAATAACAGATAAATGCTGTAAAAATTATATAAAAAAGGAGTCTCTTTCTTAAACTAATATTCTTCAGCCTTTACAATAGACAACATGTATTTCCTGAATCTACCTGGCAGATATAAGGTAGTGTTATCTTGGCCAATGTCTCTTCTGTACCATTTAATATAACAGATAAATGACATAAGCATATAAAGATTAGTCTCTTTCTTAAGACAATATTTTTCAGCCTTTAAAATAGACAACCAGTGTTTTCTAAATCTTTCCTACTGAAATGAGGAAACATTTCATATACCTGTATTTTGTCAAAACACTCCAGTTTTCTATGTAAGAAAAAAAAAAAAAAAAGAATTTAGATTTAACAAATTTAAGTTTTAAAGTATTAATAATAAAAATAGTTATGGTACCTAACACACATTTTATTTTTCATTTATAGTATTTGATTACTTCTGACAAAGGAAAAAAAAAATTTTTTACATGAAATAACACAAAATCATCCTGTTTTTGTTTTAAATGACACTTTTTTTTTTTATTTCATGTAAAAGTTGTTTTGAGAGTAAAATGCCAATCTTAATTTTAAGAATCAGTGTTTTAAATGAGACAGCATCACTGATTTGAAGAGATCCAAAAACAATTGTCTTCTTAGGTATAATAACATTTTAAGACTATAAAATTTTTTTCAGTGATAATAAAACATTTTTAAATAAAATTTTATTTTTCAAAAGTGACATTATGGCAAGTGGATAATACTCATCAAAACATTTTGAGTTATTGCTTGCTAAATTTATTTTTAGTGTTAAAAATGTATCAAGAATAAAAGCAATGCAGTTTTTAAAAACACTTGGTAGGATCTTGATAGAAAAGTTAAAAAAAAGAAAACGTTTATAACATGTTGTTTTCAAACACTTGGGAATGACAGCTAAAAACATACCCCTGCCCACATTTATAGACAAATCCTACAAATGTATGTTTGGATTTCTTATTAACCAATAAAAATGGACCAATTCTCAGAGTTTCATCCACCATATTTTCTTTTTTTTGTTCTTTGTTGTCTTGAAGTCAGAACACTACAATCACTTGACTGTATTCCTTTTGCGTGTAAACACCATCCTTACTTTGTGAACTTTCTGCCTTATTACTGTTGCTTTGGTTATTTTTGACTTGCATATATATTGTTTGCTTAGTATTATTTGACCCTGTTATTTTTATTCCTTTTCCAATCGTTTGAGAAATTTGTCAAATCTGTTGAGCATTTTGCCAATTACACTTACTTCACATAATAAAATAAAAAAAGCCTCTTTATTCATTAACAACCTGAATTTTTAGAAAACCAGGTGACTAAAAATCAGAATAATGATACCCTCAAAAATGGTTGAATTTTGAAGTCTTTAAACAATAGGACTTACTTTCCAGCACTGCCATCTCTGTTTTCTATAGACTTTGAATGCTTTTTGTGTTTCTTGTGATGCTTATGTTTCTTTGATTTGTGTTTCTTCTTTGCTAAATGGTTGTCTTCCTTCAAATGATCTTCTTTTTGCATTTTACCATCAGCTAAAAAAGAAACAGAAATTCATCCCTTTGTCTTTAGTTTCTGTATACAAAGAATTTCTAATTAAGAAAATCAATAGGATTTACTGGCATAAAAAAAATTTTAAAATAATTTTAATTTTAAAAAATATAAATGTTTCCTTGATACTATTCACAATAACAGCAAGTGAAAAATATTTTAAGTATCCTTAACTTTCTAAAATGACCAACGGCTGAAAATCAGACTACATTATATTCAAGTTAAGCTCTTAAAAGAATCAGGGAACAACTGTAAACCCAATACAAAATACAATAAATTTTTATGTTGAAGCACTTGAATAAATGATTACTATCCATATATTTAGAAATGGAATGAAATGAACATTTTTCACAACTGATTCTCTCAACTGTATTATTTAATCCACTATGTCAAATTATGAACAAAAATGAGAAAAATTACATAAAAATTAGTGGCCTTATTCAATACTTTCTTCAAAAATGTTATCTGGATGTAGAACTAAGAATTTAAATTGAACATACAAATATTCAGAGTATATTCAGTTAAAAATTATCTGAAAATACAGCAATACTGTTATTGATCTTGAAAAGTGTACAGTGAAAAGAAATTTTATAAAATAAACAGTGAAAAAAAAAACAAAAAAAACTTAAGGAATTTGTTTCATTTTGAATTACCCGTCTTTTGATATTCTCCACTTTCTGTCAGTTTTGCTTTCTTCTCTGAGGGTCCCTCTTCTTCTTCATCCAAACCATCATCCTCATTCTCACTTGAATTGCTACTACTGTCTTCTTCACTTGAATCGGCACTGATATGAGTGGACAGTGCAAGCGTGGCCACAGCATTCTCACTTGGGAAGCTCTGATTAGAAAGCCAGCCAAGTTTTGGGTCTGTAATTATAAGGCAAACATTATACCAAAATGATTTAAGAAAATTGAAATGTTATAGCTTGGTTTATTTTAAGAATTACATTAACCAGTTTTGTTTTATAAAACATTAATCAAGTGAATGCAGTTGAATAAAAAAATAAACCAAGGGAATCAGCTGTCATTAAACAACCTCCTCTAAGAAAAAGAAACATTTATTCACAAACAATTTTTTCTACTTAAATTTTGGAAATGAGCAATAAGTTTTTGCAAAGACTTTGAGCAGGATCTAGTGGCACCAAAGATCTTCATTGCACTAAAAAGATATGAAGTTAAAATAATAAGAATCTGCAAGGTTACTAATCTTGATCTGGCATCTCAGTTTCAGTCACTTTCTCACTGCATAACAGTTTCTTCTCTTGCACTTCTCATTTGTGGAACTCTTTTCCAGCTTCTTGCTTCCCAGTCAAGTTTGATCTTCAAAAGTTTAAATGTAATATAAATTGTTATCTTCCGTCTTCTTAATTCCTGTTCTTTTATCATTCTCTCTCCTTAATAGCATTGTTTTTTTTCTCATATTATCTCACACTCAGTAACCCCCTTGTATCTTAGTGACTATTGCCTTGCTTGGGGTGAAACGATTTAAAAAACTTCTAAGTTGGCTGGCAGAAGAATTTTTTGGTTATATCATATTCACAAGATAGAAACAAACAGCAAAAGATTAAACTCATTTATATGCTATTTTTTTCCACTTTGCACATCTAATATGATATTTTGTTGGTTGACATTGAAATGTGTATAGAGATATAAATAAAATTAATATAACGGCAAGTGCAAAAGATGGCTGAGCTGCCTTTGCTTATTTAACAGAACTATAATTAAAGTTGCTACACTTTATGTATAATACTTATCAGGAAGAAATCATAATTTTAAAATACCACTGATTAATATAGAGTTTGATCAAGAAAAGAGAATAAAAGGCATTTGAAACAGCACAGACATCTTCATGAAACACAATTTTAGTGTAAAAAACTTGTACCGATATATTTCTGCAGCAATTTTAGAAGTAACATTCATTGCAATACCAAAATTTTTTCATAGGGAGGGGGTACCATACTTTCCAGCAACTTTCTTAAAATGATATATTTCAGGACAATTCTTGATATTAAAAAGAACAAAAAATTAGAAATATTTATTAATTCATTGAATACACTTTTCTTTTTTTTTGATAGCTGATGATTAATTGGACAAAAACTATAATTTTGCAAGTAATAGGTCCAAGTCCTAAACCAGAAAACATTCGCTAATTGAAGCTTTGTACAAGTGAACTTTTCATGATTTTGGTAACATTCTTAGGGGAGCAAAAACTTACTTTTATGAGCTATAAGAGAGAAAATAAATAACCACAAAATGTATTTATCAAGATATTCACAAAACCAGAAACTCTTAATTTTACATTAATTAATATTGAAGACTAAACCACAGCATTATAATATTGAGATTTTAAGAAGTTCAACAGGGTTTTTACTGATAAATACAGTTCTTGGAAGATAAGGAAAATCATTTTGTGAAATAGTTTTAATACATCAAAGTCACATTATTTAGTGAAAACTAAAAACATATCACCAATAAAAGAATTTATGCTGTTTTTTTTTTTTTTTTTTTTTTTTAAATATTTAACAATGTGCTTTATTTTTTATTACAAAGTATTTTTTATTTACTTTTTTGTTTAAAGAATATTTTTGACACATGCTCTGAATTTAAAATGTAACATTTAATATAATTTTAAGGAAATACACAATAGAAAATTTCTTATACATAATACAAAAGACATATCCATCATAATTTCAATTCAGACATGCAACAATGATAAGAGATTTAGAAAAAACTCCAGTTTCAATTAACTTATAAAAATAGTATAAAATAGTATTGACAGGTAAATAAAATTTTTACAATGAATTTGATTAAAATGTATTTCCAATAGGAACAACCCAAGAGAAATCTTACCAGCTGCAGTGATTCCTATTATTCAAATTGATTTTAGGTTATACCTAGCACCAGTTAATTTTATACATTTGTCTTAATAATAATAATATTACAATAATTATCAAACTTCAGAAATCATTTAACCCATATCTTCATGTTTAAAATGACACTAATTTCCCCATATCTTTCCATATGATATCCATATTTTTTCAGAATCTATGTTACATATTTATAAAAACTACCATTCGTCCTGGCTTTGAATATTGATGCTACATTTGGTCTGATGCTCCTGTTTTAGAGATTCTTGATAAAATACAAAGAACTATCTGCAATGTTATTGTTCCTGAAATGGCATCTCAGTTCCAGTCACTTTCCCACTGTCATAACATAGCTTCCCTGAGTCTTTTCTATAAATACTTTCATGGTAATTGTTCTCATAAACTTTCCTCTATGGTCACTAGATTTTATGAATTTAAACACAGTACTAGATTGGCAGTAAGGTCTCATCATTTTACAATTGAAATGGTTAGATGTAACAATAAGTTCTATGCTAAAAGTTTCTTCACTCATAATTCTCACTTGTGAAACTTTTTTCCAGCTTCTTGCTTTTCAGTCAATTTTTATCTTCAATTTAAATGCAATCTCAATCATTATCTTCTGTCTTCTTAATTCCTGTTCTTTTATTATTCTCTCTCTTTGATAGTGTTACTTTTTCTCATATTCTCTCACACTCAGTAACCCTTTGTGCGCTATATTGTTGTCTTGCTTGGGATAGATACATACATACATACATACATACATACATACATACATACATACATACATTTATAGTGGACATTTTACTTAAATTCATAATTTCAGATGAAAACTTTGAAATTTTCTAGCATATTTCAATTATATTTTCACTTTTCAAAATTATAGTTTAGACATATAGAACAATAATGCATCAATTTAAACTGATGCCAGGACATTGGTTAATGGCATAGTACCAGTCAGTTAAATATCCTTAAAATACTATTCATTTTAAAACAAAAGGAAACAAGTATTTTGTACTTAAGAAAGAATTACTGTCCAGTAACTGTGAAAATAGTGTAACCAGATACTAAATAGAGTCTTACTTTTACAAATGTTAATTTTTCATACATGGGAATTTTTTTACATTGACTTAAAATAAAGTTATATCTGACAGACCTAATTAAAAATCCAATTTAAATTTAAATGAAAAAATTTTGATACTGTAGTCTATAAAATATAAGCAATTCAGATTTGTCACCAAGCCAAATTCAAAATAAGTGAATAAAAGAGACTTCCTAAGTTAAAAGTAAAAAAAAAAAAAAAAATTAAAGTCTTACAGAAAGATATACAGTAAGAGAAATACAAAATTAAACCAAATATGTATGTATCAGGTTTTGTGTTATGGCTATAGAGAACAGTTCAATTACTAATGCAGCAGTCTATTTCAGCAGAGAGAATCTTGTAAATATATCATTGCTAATCTGATTTTCTTTGCTCTGATTGTCAGCTTGGAATCTTAATGTTTTATTGATTTATCAAACAGTTTCCCAATTCACTGATGCCATATTTTCATCTACTCAACTCTATCAATAAATTCCAGCAGCTAAAAAGGTACAGATACATAAGATATTACAAAGAAATATTTTACAGTATTTTAAGTTAAGAATTTTAAAAAAAATTGTTTTTCTAGACAAAAAAGAAAGAAAAGAGCTTAAAAAAGAAATCAGCAAATAAAAATGATAAATTCAGTAAGGAAAAATAAAGAAGAAAGATGATAAGCATTGCAATGAAATGAGAGAAAGTGAAAGAGGATGGTAAAGACAGTGAGTGCTAGAGTGACAAGGCAATAGCATAATGATATAATCACTGCTCGATCCCATCTAAATGGATACGAAAGAGACCATGCAAGCACTGATTGTCTCACACCTGCTGCTGTGGCCAGTATGGTGGCTGTTACATAGCAGCTCACACAATTAAGCATTAAATCTATGGTTGCTTTATACACGGCAAAAGCCATCCATTAGACAAGCAGACCAAGCTTCAATGAGCATTTTAAAGAGGAGGAGGAAACATATAGCTTTAGAGAACGATATCTGACATAGAAACCAGCTTTAATAGTAAAAAGAACAATAAGACCATAAAATGAGATGTTTTCTAAAGAAGGAGGTTGAGCCAGGTTTTCTTAAATAGAAAACAATATAGCATCTTCCTCTTTATATTTGATACAGTTTGGTGAGAAGAAAAAAAAAAAAGAAAGCTATTTTGGAAATGTCTGTATGAATAAATACATTTATTTTTATAAAAGATCATAACTTAGATTTTCTAATTAATTTCTGAATTACTGAAATAATGCCTTATATTTATTCACTCATTATGTTAGAATTTTTCATTAAGTTAAAATTTCTTCACTTTATCATTCATTACAATATTTGGTAGAAAGAAATGCCTTTGCAAGGCAAATTTTTATTATTTTAAAGCACCAAATGTATTTTAAATATATTTTTTTCAATGCTGAAAATTAAATGTCATTCTAAAAATATAGATAATATTATTGTTGATGTGTTAATGTCAACTCCCAAAATTAAAATCCTAACAGTCATGAAAATTTTGAAAAATTTAATTTTTTTTAAAAACTGAAATTTGTTCTATGTAAATAAATGAAATTAAATCTTGAAAAATAGTAAAAGTTAATTATGATTGTGATAGAGAATATCTAAGTAAAAAAAGAAAGAAAATACTCAATTAAGTTATTATTCCTATATAAAATAAATTTAAAAATATCTTAATAGTATGAATGCTAAAAGGCAATTCTATTTATAAGAAATGGTCCTCATCTGAAACATCAAATGTGACTCTAAAGGATATAAATCATAAGTTTAAACTTGCTTTGTGAATACAATGAAATCCAGTTACATGGAACATCAGTTACGAAAAATAGTGAAATTATTCAAGAACAGAATCAATTTTTAAACTCAGATTGTCTTTTTTTTTTTTTTGTAAAAAATTTCGTTTTACATTGAAAA